CAAATGTGTCAGAAAGTTGTGAAATTGTTTTGAGAAGGAGGTTTTGTTGTCGTTGTGGTGCTATCTAGATCAGGGGTCTTCAAACTAGGTCCTTTTATGACTTATGGACTTCAAGTCCCAGAATTCCCCAGCCAGCGTGCCTGGCTGAGGAATTCTGGGAGTTGAAGTTCACAAGTCATAAAAGGGCCAAGCTGGAAGACCCCTGGCCTAGATTAATACAAGCAAAGATACAGGTAGGCCCAGTGGTGGGATTTAGCCAGTTTGTACCAGTTTGGCAGAACCAGTAGCTAATTTTTCATTGCCCAGGCCCAGAATGGACTTCTGGAAGCATCATCCACACAGAGAACCGGTTGTTCACCTATTTGAATCCCACCACTGTGTAGGCCTCAATTTATGAGTGCAATTTTCATCCCTAAGCGCTGCCAGTTGGGCCCGATTTTACGACCTTTTTGCCATCGTCGTTAAACAAATCTGCCTTCTCTCGTTGACTTTACTTGTCGGAAGCCATCTAGGAAGATCGTAAATGTTGGTCACGTGATCCAGAGATCCTGCAAACCGTCGTAAATTCAGGCCGGTGGCCAAGTGCCCAGATTTTTTGCATGGTTGTTAAGCAAATCACTCCAATTCTAAAGTGGATTATGTGGTCGTTAAGTGAATCTGACTTTGCTTGTTTGCAAGCTGTCTGGGAAGCTTACAAACAGGGATTAAGGATAATAATAATAATAAAGTTGGAAGGGACCTTGGAGGTCATCTAGTCCAACCCCCTGCTCAGGCAGGAAAACCTATACCATTTCAGACAAATGGCCCCGGGATACTGCATCCGTCGTACATGTTTGCCAAGCATCTGGATTCTGATACCCTGGGGAATGCTGGGACGGTCGTAAGTGTGAGGACTGGTCATAAGTCGCTTTTCCCAGTGCTGTTGTAGCTTCAAACGGTCACTAAATGTTTTAAATCAAGGATTGCCTGTACTAGGAAATACATCCATGAAAATAGCTTCCTGTGTTTATTTTTGTATTTTCTAGGCCGATCGAGGCAAAATTGATGCCTACAGAATGCAGATAGTCCTCGGTTTAAAATCCGTTTCTTTAGTGACCGTTCGAAGTCACGACGGGACTGAAAAAAGTGACTTATGGCTGTTTCTCATACTTAACGACCATTGTAGCATCCCCGTGGTCACGTGATCAAAATTGGGACGCTTAGCGACCGAATCATATTTATGACGGTCGCAGCGTCCCGGGGGGGTCACGTGATCCCCTTTTGCGACCTTCCGACAAGCAAAGTCCATGGGGAAGCCAGATTCACTTAACGACCGTGTGACTGACTTAACAACTACAGGGATTCACTGAGCCATAGTGACAAGAAAGGTCGCGAAAATGGGACAAAACTGAATTAAAAACTGAATTAAAAACGGTCTCACTTAGCAACGGAAATTTTGGGCACAATTATGGTCGTAAGTTGAGGACTACCTGTACTATCCCAGAGAAATGGCTGTCCAGTCTCTTCTTAAAAACCTTTAGCGAAGGCCATTATCTCTACCACTGCTAATCCACATTTGAGGGGTCCTTGGTGGTCTCTGAGCTTGCTTGTTTTCTTGTAGACATTTCATTACCAAACTAGGTAACATCATCAGGGCAAGAAAACCACTCAGAGAGCACCAAAGACCCTACAGTTCTCCTCCTCCTCCTCTTCCTCCTCCTCCTCCTCCTTCTCCTTCTCCTTCTCCTTCTCCTTCTCCTTCTCCTTCTCCTTCTCCTTCTCCTCCTCCTCCTCCCAGCTGATGATATTAGCTAGTTGGGTCATGAAATGTTTGTAAGAAAATCACCAAGCTCAGAGAGCACCAAAGACCCCATAGTCCTCCTCCTCCTCCTCCTCCTCCTCCTCCTCCTCCTCCTTCCAGCTGATAATATTAGCTAGTTGGGTCATGAAATGTTTGTAATAAAATCACCAAGCTCAGAGAGCACCAAGGACCCCATAGTCGTCGTCCTCCTCCTGCTCCTCCTCCTCCTGCTCCTCCTCCCAGCACTGTTAGCTAGTTGGGTCATGAAATGTTTGCAAGAAAACCACCAAGCTCAGAGAGCACCAAGGACCCCACAATCCTCCTCCTCCTCCTCCTCTTCCCCCTCCTCCTAGCACTGATGATGTTAGCTAGCTGGCTCATGAAACGTCTGCAAGGAAAACCACCCAGCTCAGAGAACACCCAGGACCCCTCATGTCAACCCTGAGCTACAAATATCCCCCTTTACTAAATCCACTGTTCTTCCTGTTGTTGTTTTTTTTCTTCCAGAATCTTTGTCTCAAAATCCTTCCTTCCCATACCCTGGTGTGTTTGTGGGCAAATGTGTCGGTTGGTGTTTGCTGTGCTTGCAAGTCCCTTTTGCACGCCCTCCGAGACCCTTCCTCCTTCCGAGACCACCCTCCGCTCCCCTCTCCTTTAGAGATGCAGGGAGTTAGTTAATTTTTCCCCCCCTCCTTGGAAAATGATGAGAAAAGGACCAAGCCAGGAAAAATTGCCTCGACCCCAAAGCTGCGGCTGTCCCCCTCGATGCCCCTGCTTTGGGGCACCCCCCCCTTTGACCTCTGCTAGAGGGAGCTTCCTTTTGGGGGTCCCCCCATTGCCGTGCTGGCCTCTGCTGACTTTTTCATTTCTACAGGAGCTGAAAGTCAAGGGGACCCACAGTTTTGTCACCATGGAAGGTAACCAGCTTCTCCTGTTTTTTCTGGGGAAGGGGAGGTTGGGGAAAGGGTGGTATTTTGGGGTGTCAGGTGGCATCTCCCCATCTTTTTCTGCCTCCCCTTGCCTGCTCTTTTGGGGTGCCCACAGCAAACCAAGATTGCTGGTTGCAGAAGAATCCTTTTACCCAGGAAGAGAATAAGAGAGAGAGAAGGGGAAAAATGAAACAGAGAAAGACAGTGGGGGAGGGAGAGAAAGAAAGAGAGGGAAGAGAGAGAAAAAAGAGAGATCCAAAGACAGATAGAAAAAGAGAGGGAAGGGAAAGAGAAAAAAGAAATAGAGAAGAGAAGAGAAGAGAAAAAAGAGATAGAAAGACAGAGAGGGAAGAGAAAGAAAAAAAGAAATATATAGAGAGAATTTAGAATAAAAAAAAATAGAGCTGGAAGGGACGTTGGAGGTCTTCTAGTCCAGCCCCCTGCTCAAGCAGGAGAACCTATACCAGGGGTCTTCAAACTTGGCCCTTTTATGACTTGTGGACTTCAACTCCCAGAATTCCTCAGCCAGCGTGCCTGGCTGAGTGATGAAAGATCCAGTAACGGCAACAATAACTGCTTCCATTTCTTGTTGAACTGCCAAAGGCATTTTGTCCCCCCCCCCCTTTTTTTTTCCTGATGGAGAAAACATCAGATCCACTCCTGAAAAATAAGTTTACAATTAGTCTTATTGGCTAAACAAAAGTTCCCCTCACGAACGGCAGTTCTTAAGAATGCTATTTATATTTATTATATTTATAATATATGTATAATATTATACACCTCTATACGTATGAATATATATTTATGTTCTATAAATATAATTTGATATATTTAGCGCTGTAGTAAATCTGGGAACCACAATGTTACAATAATATTCATTCCAAATTGACCTTCATAATTCAGTTCAGTGGACTGATTAATTAATAAATTAATAAGTTGATTGACATCTTCATAAGCGATTGAGATGAGGGGATAGAAGGGGAACTCATCAGATTTGCAGAAGACACCAAGCTGAAGGGGAATAGCCAACACTCCAGAAAATAAACTCAAGATACAAAAGGATCTTGACAGACTTGAACCCTGGAGCCTATCTAACAAATTGCAATTCAGTGGTGAGGAGAGAAGAGAAGAGAAGAAAAAAAAGAGAAAGACAAAGAGGGAAGAAAAAGAAAAAAAGAAAAATATATATAGAGAGAGAGAGAAGAGAAGAGAAAAAAGAAAGACAGAAAGAGAGAGGGAAGAGAAAGAAAAAAGAAATATATATAGAGAGAGAGAAGAGAAGAGAAAAAAGAAAGACAGAAATAGAGGGAAGAGAAAGAAAAAAGAAATATAGAGAGAGAGAGAAGAGAAGAGAAAAAAGAAAGACAGAAAGAGAGGGAAGAGAAAGAAAAAAGAAATATATATATAGAGAGAGAAGAGAAGAGAAAAAAGAAAGAGACAGAAAGAGAGGGAAGAGAAAGAAAAAAGAAATATATATAGAGAGAGAGAAGAGAAAAAAGAAAGAGAGAGGGAAGAGAAAGAAAAAAGAAATATATTGAGAGAGAAGAGAAGAGAAAAAAGAGAAAGAGAGGGAAGAGAAAGAAAAAAGAAATATATATCTAGAGAGAAGAGAAGAGAAAAAAGATAGAAAGAGAAAGAAAGAGGGAAGAGAAAGAAAAAAATATATATAGAGAGAGAGAAGAAGAGAAAAAAAAGATAGAAAGACAGAGGGAAGAAAGAAAATATATATAGAGAGAGAGAAGTGAAGAGAAGAGAAGAGAAAAACGGGGAAGAGAAAGGGAAGAGAGAAAAGAGAAAGAGAAAGACTGAAGAGAGAAAAAAGAAATAGAAGAGAAGAGAAAAAGAGATAGAAAGACAGAAAGAGAGGGAAGAGAAAGAAAAAAAGAAATATAGAGAAAGAAGAAGAGAAGAAAGAAAAACGGGGAAGAGAAAGAGAGGGAAGAGAAAAAAGAAAAAGGCAGAAAGATTGAAGAGAGAAAAAAATAGAGGAGAAGAGAAGAGAAGAAGAGAAAAAAGAAAGGGAGAAAGATAGAGACGGGGAAGAGAAAGAGGGAAGAGAGAAAGCAGAGAAAGACAAAGAGAGAAGAGAAAGAGAGTGAAGAGAGAAGACAGAGAGCAAGGGAGGGAGGGAGAAAGAGAAAGAGGAGGGGGCTTCCCTGTTTGGCATGCTGGAGGTGTTTGGCAGCCCCTCACTCCTCCCTCCCCTTCTCTTCCTCTTTCCCTCTCTCTCTCTCTCTCTCTCTCTTCCACCTCTGGAGCTGGCGGACCCCCGGTGCCGCCGCGATGGTGCCATGGAGATACTGCTCATCGTTCGCTTTTGCTGTAACTGCACCTACGGTGGGTGGGCTCCCACCAGCGACCCCTTCCCCTATCTCACCCCCTCTCCTTCTCCCCTAAGATCCGGGCAGGGGGAGTGGGGGGGG